ATGCTGTTTCTAAGCTGCCGTCATTTACTAAATGACAGTCACATTAACTCTAATGATTCCGAGAAAGAAACAGGAAGACGGGAGAGAAATTTGGAGAGGGAGATAAAGAATAATGGGAAAGTAAAGTTTCGAAAGTGAGAGACTGGGCAGTAATAGAGAAGGAAGAGGTGGGGGTGGAAACAGGAACGGTGGAAAAGAAGGAAGGAGCAGAAAGGTGGGAGGTATGAAGAGATGATAGGGTTAGAGAGGACCTGAAATGGACGAAATAAAGTGAGAGGAACGGAGAAGCTCGAGGAATAGAGAGAAACATCAAATAAATGATAAGAAAACTGCCAGGTAGTCATTGAAGCTAAGACATGAGATAGCTATGAAAAGAACTTGCACTAAAATAAGAGTGAAAAGGGTTGTATATGAGAACATTTTGCTTATTAAACAAAACTGGACACCGCACAGTGTGCTGCTACCCGAACCTACATGATAGTCACACAGTGGGAACGAAAACTACCTATGTTTCCCTGTAGTGTTCCATCACGCAGAATGGGACTTACATGAGGTGTTGAAATCTGTCAGCCTGAGCTGGGGAAACTTCAGTAGGACAATGAGGATATCGTCAAGCATTCCAATAAGGGATCATTAGCTACCTTAGCTTCCTTAGCTTAGCTTACATGAACCTGCAAGCCTATAACAGTGGTAATTAATTTTTTATATATAACTTCGACTAGAAATTCATCAATTAAGGCTTAATTCTATCTACTCCGATTTCTTTTTGAGTGACAGATCTCACCCTCACCCACCAATGTGGCCCCTTTCTACCATCTCACTGAGGGAATGACGTGAAAAGGGCTAATTCAAGACACACATCTTTTTTTTTTTTTTTTTTTTTTTACACAGGGTTTGACAAGGTTAAGAATCCCTAGCTTTATTAACAAGCTATTTACATTTGAAAGCATTTTTATTGTTATGAGACATACAAGTAGGGAACAGGATGAAGTTGGAGTCATCTGTGGGCCAGCATTTTCATTTGATCAACTGGCTTTATCTCGTTGACATCATTATGCTATACGAATGTGTTCCATACTCGAGTCATCCTGGGTATATATGATCTCAGATGGAGTGAAGTTCTGGAGAAGGGTACAGCCAGAGTGAAGTTGCTGCTTTCTGCCCGTCTTGTGGCATAAAAGCTTGTTTCACGCTGTCCTCGAAGTGGATCCAAGTGTGGTACTTTGACAATATTGGCCTTGTACATAACAGTAAGGCCACCCACATCCCTCCTATGTTGAAGGCTCTCCTTAAATGACAGATCTATCCAGGATGGGTCCAGGCGAGAGATGAGACGTCTTGCTCTGTTCTCTACTCTGTCAAGCAGTCGCAGATGAGAGGGGGGGCAGGGAAACCAAGTAAGTGGAGCATACTCAAGGTACGAGCGTACTTGTGCCTCGTACAGAATCTTGAACCCCTACTGTCAAGTAGATGCGAGATACGGCGAAGTGTTGTAAGCTTCCTGGCTGCCTTGTTTGCAAGATTTACAACATGGTTCTTCATGGTTAGTTTGGAATCAAATTTCACCCCAAGGATATCAACTTCTTCTCCAGGTGCCAACACCCTCCCATTCATCCTTACTACTGCACCAGCATTACCATCATGGTGCCTAGAGACGATCATCATTTGCGTTTTCTCAGGTGCAAATGTTACTTGCCATCTATTTCCCCAAGCTGATATAGCTCTCAGCTGGTGATTGATGTAGCTTAGAGCAGCTGGCATTTCTTCTCTTGGATAAGTGAATGTCAGTGTGCAGTCGTCTGTATATGCTTGTGATTCTGGGATGAGATGAAGAAGGTCGTTGAAGTAGACATTCCATAACAATGGTCCCAGCACGCTTCCTTGTGGAACACTTGCGCCAATAGGATGTCTTGCTGATTCCGTTCCATTGAGAACTACACTTAGAGATCTACCATGAAGGTAATCACTGAGGAGACAGCGTAGAGCCTGCAATTCCCAGTGCTTGAAGTTTGGCTAAGAGGCCCTGGTGCCACACCCGGTCGAAAGCGCCAGCAATGTCCAGTGCTACCACACAGCTGACTTTGGATTCATCCAGTGACTGGTGCCACTTAGTGGAGAGGTTTAACAACAGATCAGCAGCAGAGTAACCTTTCCTGAAGCCATATTGACCATCACAAAGTAGTGAGTGACAGTCAAAAAACTCTGTCATTTGTCTTGAGATTATTGTCTCAAGGATCTTACCAGTGACTGACAGGAGTGACACTGGTCTGTAGTTGCTGATTTCTGCTTTGCTCTTCTTTTTGTGAACAGGGACTACATTTGCCTCTTTCCATAGAGAGGGCCATTTACACTGTACTAGGCAGTGCTGAAAGATGCGAGTTAGAGGTGCTGCTAGCTGGTCTCTACATCTTCTCAGCAATCTTGGGCTCAACTTGTCTGGGCCCACAGCCTTTTCTTGGTCAAGCGATTTAAGAAGAAAATGCACCTCCTCCTGCCTTATTGTCACCACTGACAGTTTTGACACAGTTCTTGCAGCTAGCCAAGGAGGGTCCCTTGCTGGATCAGGAACTTGCATTTTGGTAGCAAAGTGTTCAGCAAAGAGGTCCGCCTTCTCTTGACTACTAGTAGAGGTGGTCCCATCCTGTCGATTTAAAGGTGGAATGAGTTCATCAGGCAGATAACCTTGTCTGTCCTTAACCAGGGACCACCAGGTTTTGGAGCCTACCCTACCTGATGCTAGCTTTCTTTTAGTGTCCTCCTCCCATTTAGCAATGGCCCACTTTTGAACGTCACCCATATGTCTACAGGCTTGCCTGTGCAAGTTCCTGTTATAGGTGGTAGGACGTCTCTTATACCTTCGCCATGCTTTGTACTTAGCAGTAGCAGCCTCTCTACAACGAAAGCCAAACCAAGGCTGATCCGTAGGCTTCATCACATATTGCCGGTGAGGAATGTGTTCTTGTTGTAGATTAAGGATGTGTCCATTGAAGGCTTTCACTTGGTTGTCAACATCCCCTTGGAGAAGAGCATTCCAATCGGTGGTGGCGAGCTCAGAGCAAAGGGCTGGCCAATTACCTCTTTCCCATGGCCAGGTTGTGCGTGTGGACTCCTCACCTCGTTCTGTTGGGATCTTAAGTGTTATAAAAACAGCCTTGTGGTCAGACTCTCCAACATAGCCGAGGGGTTGACAAGTGACTATGCCTTCTGCCAGATCACTCACTACTGGGTCAAGGGAGGAGCCAGAGATGTGAGTAGGGAAATCAACGAAGTTTCTCTTGTCAAACACTGCAAGAAGGTCATCAAAGTCCCTCTGTATAAGGTGCTGGTTGAGGTCACCAACAATTATTATATGTTGACAGTTGTGTTGTAGCAGAAGGGAGTCAATATTTTCCATTAGGAAGTTGATGGGGTCATGTTGCCACTGAGGTCTGTACATTGCACATGCTAGTACAGAGGTACTAGTGTTTATACAGAGCTTGAAGAACATCATTTCAAGATGTGTAGGGGTGGCAACATCAATGTGCTGGGCATGAACACTTTTAGAGAAGCACACAGCAACACCTCCTCCTTGCCCATGCCTGTCTCTTCTCATCCATGAGGTGTAGCCAGCAATTCTTGCAAAATTTTCTGGAGTCCTGTCATCCAAAAATGTTTCAACAGCAGCTATCATGTCGGGACGTCGAGTGTTCACAAAACTTTGTGTGAGCTCTCCAACATTAGTAATGAAACCTCTAATGTTGGGCGACAGGATGCTGATAGACTGGCTCCTCATGATGAAGTGGTCAGCTTGAGGTGGTGGGTGTGTAGGGAATGTAAGGCGCCTGCCCTTGAGAGAGGTAGGGTACTGAGGCAGCTGCAGGGATGTAGGTCTGTGGTCTTGTATAAGGCACAATACCACCTGCTGGGCTGGGATAGGAGTAGCTAAGTAGGTGACGTGTGAGAGTGTTCACCAATTCAGAGATCCTGCTGGTTTGTTCTGAGAACAGGTCTCTAAATAGGTGGCCCTGTCTGTCAAGTTCCTTTTTCTTCCGACACTGGTCCTCCTGATGACCTTTCTTGTAGCAGTAATTACACCTGGTATCTCGCAGGCAGTTGTTGGCAGTGTGTCCCTTCCGGTGACAGCGAGAGCACAGCCTAGGTGCCTGAGAGGGTGGACTGGGATTTGTTGCACCTCCTGTGTTTTGCAGATTTGTCCTCAGATTCTGCCGCTGTGTTAGTGGTGGGTGAGACGGCTGTAGATGTCTTCCTCTCTCTCTCTCTCTCTCTCTCTCTCTCTCTCTCTCTCTCTCGCTCACTTCTTCCTTGTTTCTCTCTCTTTTTCCTAGCCTTTTCTATACCGCCCTCATTCTCTCCTCTTTCGTAATCTATCCTCTCTACTTTCCTTACCCGTATTCTATTTAATCCTTACTCTCTTCTCTTCTTTATTCTCCCCTGTTCTCTTGTACCCTATTTTCTCATTTACTACCTTCCCCTGTTACCTCATTCTGTCTCCTTTATTCTACTTCTTCCCCTCCCTATTAGATCCTTTCCCCAACTTCTTCCTCTTTGCCTTCTCCCCTGCTCGCTCCCCCTCCCACATACCTGGTGGGATTCTGACGTCAAGTGACATCACTGAGGATTAACGCAACTCTGATGTAAATGAGTCGCTGGACATCCGAGGATAAGTCCCTTTTAACACTGTGGGATTACCTCTATGGGAGCTGGGGGAGGAAGGTTAGTGGGGGCAGTATAGGGGAGATGTGAGGAAGGGAGGAGAGATGCGAGCGAGCAATGGAAGAGGGATGTTAGGTGGGCGAAGTGCGCGAGGGACAGAGAAGAGTAGCGAAGAGAAATGGAGAGGATGAGTATGGAATTGAAATGGGATGATGGGAGGATCATAAGTAGGAGAGTGGAGAGAGGGAGGGTCAAGGAAGGGAGAGTTGAGGGAGGAAGGGAGAGTGGTGGGAGGGAGGGAGAATGGAGTAAATGATGTGTCATATCAAGATGAACGTCTACCTTACAAGTATAAGGAACAGATGGAAGATCATTATTATCTACTCCATCTTCTATAAACCTCTACAATACAAACAAAGTCAATTCAGAAAAAGTTAATAACTTAATTAGCAGCCTCTCTCTCTCTCTCTCTCTCTCTCTCTCTCTCTCTCTCTCTCTCTCTCTCTCTCTCTCTCTCTCTCTCTCTCTCTCTTTTACACAGGGTTTGACAAGGTTAGGTTAAGGATCCCTATTGACAAGCTATTTATAGGTTAAGGAGCTGTTACTTACATCAGCTTATTTGAAAGCATTTGCATTGTTATGAGACATACAAGTAGGGAACAGGATGAAGTTGGAGCTATCTGTGGGACACCATTTTCATTTGGTGAACTGACTTTATCTCGTCGACATCACAATGCTGTACGAATGCGTTCCAGACTCGAGTCATCCTGGGGATAAATGATCTCAGATGAAGTGATGTTCTGGAGAAGGGTACAGCCAGAGTGAAGTTGCTGCTTTCTGACCGTCTTGTGGTATAGAAGCTTGCTTCACGCTGTCCTCGAAGTGGAGCCAAGTGTGGTACTTTGACAATGTTGGCCTTGTACATAACAGTAAAGCCACCCACATCCCTCCTTCAACACAGGAGGGATGTGGGTGGCCTTACTGTTATGTACAAGGCCAATATTGTCAAAGTACCACACTTGGATCCACTCAGAGAGGTAGGATAGAAAGGTACCGATATTTCTCTCTCTCTCTCGCTCTCTCTCTCTCTCTCTTCTTTCTCCCTCTCTCTCTTTCTCTCAGTAACTCTCTTATAAATTTCCTCCATATAGTGCGACTCTTTGTAAATGCAACTGGAAAAGTACATATAAATTCGAAGAGTACATGGAAAGGCCTTCGGAGTACACACAATTCAATTTTCGAGGCACTTTTCTTTTAACTCAATTTACAAAAAGAAAATCACACTACAGAGAGACGATCTTTATACGAACCTACTGTATATACCAGCTCCTTATTTCTTGCGTTTATTTTCATCCTTATAACAACTTAAATCTTCACTCATCCCCCATCTACTCCTCTCCCTTCCCCTTTTCATCTCGCTATATTGCGGCTCTCTGTTCACTTATTTCCCAATTACCAGGTTCCTTTATGTCACAGGCAGCGCCTCCTCCGGCCGGCTGGACTTTAAAAAAAGTGGAACCCACAACACAACATCTAATTTAACGAGTCGGTCATTCCGGACACCAACGAGTGAATAATTCCAGCGTGTGGACGATTTTCCCGCTGACAACTAATCAATTAAAGCCCGTGAGAGTGAGGTAAAGAGAGGGGAAGGGAGGGAGGGACAGGGGAGAAGGTGGGACCGAAAGAAAAGGGAATGAGAATGGAGGTAGGGAAGATAACATTAGAGAGAGGAAAATGAGAGAGGTATGGAAGAGGAGCGAGAGAAGAGTAAAGAGAGGATTGTAGGAGGTAAAGGAATTCTGAAAGGGGGAGAGGTAAATGAAAAAAATGGAGATATATGGAACTATCTATTTCGAGGTAGAAAAAGGATGTAATATTGCTTAGAGTATATATATATATATATATATATATATATATATATATATATATATATATATATATATATATATTATAGCATTATTAATATTATTAAAAATATTGGTGCATTAGAAGTATCTGATATATATTAGCTAGGAAGGAAAGTTTTTCTTGTTCAGTTTGTTTACATTTTATAATTTAAATATTTCCATAGTTGGAATTATAAAATCATTAATTTTTTTAAATTGAAGATAAAAGAAATTTGCAAACCTATATTGGTGACTGAAGAGCAATCTTATTAGAAGAATTTGTGGAATTTTAAATGAGGAGTGTGTCTTTTTGTCAGGGGAAAAGAGTAATTACCGATTTTTTTTATCTATTTTTGAGATTTATAGTATTTTGGATAGAATAAACAAATGCTGTTAGGAGTCTCTGATACTTATAGAGTGTTTAAAAAATAAATTCTAATAAGGGGCTACAGCTATATTTAGGATTTTTGTAATGCGAGTATAAACTTTGTTGGACGAAAATATATTTGATTATTTTTACAAGTTTGGATTATATTAATAAATACTAACAAATTCTTGGCTATTTTTGCAATGGTAATAATGAGTTGGTTTAGCGTTATTTCAAAGTTTTGTGTACGTTAGGATGTGTGGAAGGTTAAATGTGTATCAGACACACCTTTGAGTCAGCGCAGTTTGAGGCATCCTAAGGGCAGGACGTAGCTCTCTACGCTCCTGTCAGCCCAGGAGATGCGTAAAAGACAGGTGAATAATTAGTGAAAAGATGAAAATGTTATAGAAGATGCAAGGCAGAGTAAAGAATAAGTAATGCAAAATGAATATTTAGGAAATATTTACTTAAATAATTAAGAATAACTGGTTTAGTTATATTTATCTGTTATGTTGTTATAATTTTTAGGACAAGGCATTGAAAGATAAAAGGTGAAGGTTACTGGTGTATAATGTAATTCTAAAGAACTGTGGTTGTGAATTTCATTTCCCTCCCCTAACAACAAGTTCCAGCCGCCGTCATTACTAAGACGTAGACACGAGGGAAACATGCAGCAAACTTGGAAAAAGGAAAATAAACAGACCCTAGAATTTTTAAACAAACAAGAGGGTATGTTCGTACGACAAAATAAAATAGCAATACCTAGACAGTTCGTTAACGAATTTAGTAAACACCGATAAATCTTTTAATTAACATTTCGCCACTGTATACAGAGAAAAATGCTTCGAAATTAAACCTCGTACTTATTTTCGAAGGATATTGTCTTTTGTTCGTAAAAAAACACATCAAATCACAAAAAAGTACTGCATGGTGCAATAACAAGGATAGTTACTACACTCAGGTTCATTAACTAAGGGGGTGAGAGTGGTCGTTAATGGGTTTAATGATGCTGTTAACTGCATGTTGGTAATTGTTAGTTTGAGACCCTTCCATCTCGTTGTCTCCTTTTTCACTATTTTATGGTTCTTGTTAATTCAACGTTTTGTCTGTCTGTCTGTCTGTCTGTCTGTCTGTCTGTTTGTCTGTCTGTTTGTCTGTTTGTCTGTCTGTCTGTCTGTCTGTCTTCTTCTCTCTCTCTCTCTCTCTCTCTCTCTCTCTCTCTCTCTCTCTCTCTCTCTCTCTCTCTCTCTCTCTCTCTTTCTCTCTCCACTCTTATTCCTTACCCTCGGGAGCAAATCTGACCAGCATTTATGAATTCATTAATCTGCCTACCGACCAGTGGCTCCCGATCCTTGATCCCAAACTCAATCAGTCACGACAATTTGCAAATATGTGGCATCTCCCCTCTTTCCTCATATTAGTCTCTTCCTTCTTTTCCCCTTATCTTTCCTTTTTTCCTCTTTCCATCTTCCGTTTTCTATTCTTTTTCCTTCTTCTAACCTTACTTTTCTATCGCAGCTCATTATTTTAATATTTCTCTTTCCCTCTGTCTCTTTATCTCTCCATTTTCTTTACCCTTATCTCAACCATCTTTCCATTCCCTCTTTCTTTTTATTTACATTAATTATCATCTTCCTTACCTTTCCTCTCTTTCCATGATAAGATACATTTATAACACCTTGGTATTTTTATTCAAAAGACGCAAATTTTTGAATTCAGTACAAACCATTTTTGAAGATGTTGAAACTGGAGACAGTAGAAGACGAGTTCATCAGTCCATCAACCTAGAATATAGGCTGAGGGACCGAGTGCCTGAAAAAGTCTCCAGACTTTACGAAGGCTACACCGTATATTTCTCACGTGTTCGTGACCAAAGAATAAAATCAGTCTTAGAGATAAATATAAATGAATGAACGGTGAATGAATACGATGATGGAATATGCAAGGATGTGCTAAAGATAAGAACCAATAGCGCTGAATTACGTGCATAAAATAATAAAATTCGCCCTACTGACACGAGGAATTTAGCCATAAATTTACTCAGATACTGTAACACAGTCAGGCGATGTTATGGGAGGAGCATACCTTACTTCCACTTCAGAGAAAAGAAGGTGGATAGCGATCCGTTCAGAGGACGACGGGTCATAGGACGACACCTCGTCGAAGGACGACACCTTATCGGAGGACGACACCTTATCGGAGGACGACATCTCATCGGAAGAGGACGACGCCTCAACGGAATTCGACCCCACAGGAGGACAATGCCTCAACGGAACACGAAGACTAGGAGTCCGAGACTGCCTATCTTTCGGTGTTTGATAGATAACTCAAACAAAATAGCAGGTAATTGTTTATGGTCGACAGGCTTTCTAAGCCTTCTTATGAGTGAAAGCTTTACAAGTGTTCACTGGCCAGTTGGTGTGGTAGATCAATGGTCTCCAGATTGAATGATGTGAGTCGTTCAGAGGAAGACTGAATGGGAGGGGTAGAATTATTATACAAATCAAATATTATTATTAAGTTTTTATTATTCTCGATTAAATATTTTCCATATATTATAATGCAATAGGATCACAGTAAACAGGTGATTTCAGAATATGCAAAACAACCACTGTGAAAGAATAATGAAATTCCAAGCGCTTTCGTGACTTCTCACATTATCAAGGATAATGTGAGTAGTCACGAAAGCACTTCGAATTTCATTATTCTTTCACAGTGGTTGTTTTGCATATTATTATAATGGTATTCAAAACCGACTAATACGCTACTCAGCCTGACTTGCAGAGTAGCACGTCCATGTAAGAATTAGTAAAAGGAGGTAACAGCCTCAACTATTCGTTGCGTTTGTGACCCACATGAGTTTAGCGCTTCATTTAAATACAGTAGGTTTTATATTTGAATAAATTTAATTGTGCAGGTGTAACTTTTCAGAAATAAATATACAAAACTGTTATTAATGTCTTGCTTATCAGGAATTAATATTGTTTAAAGTCAGAAAATTGCCACGAACAATTCATCTTCAAATGGAGTTTTCGTACTACTAGGTAATCCTCTTAGCTCAACCTAATTTCTCTTTATTTTTCTTATTTGTTTCATAAGTGGGATTATTAATTTGGAAAGTCACTGAGACTAAATTCTGTATGCAATTTGCATTGATATTTTTTAATTTAGTGTCACTAAGAAAGCATCTGGGCAGAAGTTGTATTTCGGAGCTGAGACTTAGTAAGTAGTAGTAATGACTATTTTCATGAAAGAATTAACGCATAGAAATCTTTTTAAAAGTTACCGAGTATATTGTAAAGGAAAGTGTTTCGATGACAAGTAGGAAATCGTAATACACGAGCGGGTTGTTTGTGTATTGTTTCGGTCAAGGTGTTGTGCCTTTTTGTTCTTCAACCGCCAGGTACTTGATACCGTCAAGCTGAGGAAAAGAACAAGTGAACAAATACTGAAGACATCTTAATAAAAACGTTTCGATCAAGGCATTATGGTCAGTCCAATTAACAAGTGAACACCTCCTAAGGGAAAAAAATGTTTTAGCAAGTGTTTACTTGTCCTTACCTTTGCTAGGAGAGAGTGAATCCAGAATATGATAACAAGCAGAGCCTGAGACTCGATCCTGCAACTACAAATAGGAAGTACGTGTAGGTGAGTACACACACACACACACACACACACACACACACACACACACACACACACACAATGGTTCTAATTTTTATAATGGAACGGAAATGCAAGGCACCACTGACTCAAAGAAATGCTGGCGGATGTGGCTGCCGGCGTCCCTGTTGCCAAAATAGAACTGACCGCCGTTTGCATGGAAAGTGAAATCTTACTACAAGTCACTCAGAAAATATGAGGTAGAAGACGGAGACAGGGAAAGAGAAAGAGAGAGAGAGAGAGAGAGAGAGAGAGAGAGAGAGAGAGAGAGAGAGAGAGAGAGAGAGAGAGAGAGAGAGAGAGAGAGAGAGAGAGAGAGAAGACAGACAGACAGACAGAAGACAGACAGACAGACAGACAGACAGAAACAGACAGACAGACAGACATAGAGACAGAGAGAGAGAGACAGAAAGAGACAGAGACAGAAAGAGACAGAGACAGAAAGAGATAGAGAAAGAGAAAAGAGAGAGAGAGAGAGAGAGAGAGAAAAATGAAGAGAGAGAGAAAATGAAGAGATAGAGAGAGAAAGAGAGAGAGAGAGGCAGACAAACAGACGGACAGACAGACAGACAGACAGACAGACAGACAGACAGACAGATAGACAGATAGACCTACAGATAGACAGACAGAGAGACAGAGACAAAGAGAAAGAATGCTAGAGAGCAAGGAGATAGAAAATAGAGAATGAACAGTGACGATTTCAAAAGAGTAAATTACTGAGTAATGAATAGTTGTTTAAAAGAAAATAACAAAATAACACTATCAACTACACGGCCGTTATGAAGGAAGCATGTCACCTCTTCACGTCCAGTCAAGAATACTTCAATCTCTAATAATATATATATATATATATATATATATATATATATATATATATATATATATATATATATATATATATATATATATATATATATATATATATATAATATGTATATATATACTATATGTAAATATATAAGCTGGCTGCCTTGGATTCACGTCTAACTCAAGCTGGGCGATAAGGTATTGGTCCAGTGTGGTGATAATGGTAAAGCACTGCGTACCTTGTTCCAGTGTTCGTAGGTTCGGGTCTCCTTCGGCCAGAGATCAGTGTTTGTGTATATTTCGTCTGCTCTTGCGATTTCTTTGCATTGTTAAAATCTCTAGTAAGGCTGATGCATGCAGGGGATGAGATGAAAAGCTGTAAGCCTTCTCCCTGAAAGCTGGCTGCCTTGGATTAACGTCTAGCGCAAGCTAGGCGCCAAGGTATTGGTCCAGTGTGGTTAGAATGGTCTTGGCCTTGGATGCACTGGAAGAAAATCAGAATGCAGATGTAATACACACAGACTCTGCAAAAGCATTTGACAAATGCGATCATGGCGTAATAGCTCATAAAATACGTGCTAAAGGAATAACTGGGAAAGTGGGGAGATGGATTTTCTACTTCCTAACTAATCAAACACAGAGAGTAGTGGTCAACAGAGTTAAATCGGAGGCTGCCATAGTGAAGAGCTCTGTTCCAGAAGGCAAGTATTCGCCCCCATCTTATTCCTCATCCTCATATCAGACATAGACAGAGATATACATCACAGCACCGTATCATCCTTTGCGGATGATACTAGGATCTGCATGAGGCTGTCATCTGCTGAGGACGCGATTAACCTCCAAGAAGATATCAACAAAGTTTTCCAGTGGGCAACGGTAAACAATATGATGTTCAATAAGGACAAATTCCAACTACTCCGTTATGGAAAACCTGGAGGAGATAATAACTAGAACAGAGTATACCTGGGAGTAATAATGTCTGAGGATCTCACTTTCAAGGATCACAACAGTGCCACGATCACAAGTGCAAAGAAAATGATAGGATGGATAATGAGAACGTTCAAAACGAGAGATGCCAAGCCAATGATCCTTTTCAAATCACTTGTTCTCTCTAGGCTGGAATACTGCTGTACATTAACATCTCCATACAAAGCAGGCGAAATCGTAGATCTAGAGAGTGTACAGAGATCCTTTACTGCACGTATAAGTTCTGTCAAGCACCTTAACTACTGGGAACGCTTGGAAGCACTTGATTTGTACTCGTTGGAACGCAGGAGGTAGAGATATATCATAATCTACACTTGGAAAATCCTGGAAGGAATGGTCATAAAATCTGCACACAGAAGTCACTCCCTACGAAAGTAACGTGGAATCTCCAACGCCACTCTTAATGCTTCTCTCTCTCTCTCTCTCTCTCTCTCTCTCTCTCTCTCTCTCTCTCTCTCCTCTTTCATTCTCTCTCTCTCTCTTTCTTTTTTCTCTCTCTCTCTCTATCTTTTTTTTTTTACACAGGGTTTGACAAGGTTAAGAATCCTTAGCTTTATTGACAAGCTATTTACAGGTTAAGGATTCCTAACTTTATTGGCAAGCTAAGAGCTGTTACCTACATCAGCTCATTTGAAAGCATTTTTATTGTTATGAGACATACAAGTAGGGAACAGGATGAAGTTGGAGCCATCTGTGGGCCAGCATTTTCTCGTTGACATCATTATGCTGTACGAATGCGTTCCATACTCCAGTCATCCTGGGTATATATGATCTCAGATGGAGTGATGTTCTGGAGAAGGGTACAGCCAGAATGAAGTTGCTGCTTTCTGCCCGTTTTTTGGCATAAAAGCTTGTTTCACGCTGTCCTCGAAGTGCTTCCAAGTGTGGTACTTTGGCATTATAGGCCTTGTACATAACAGTAAGGCCACCCACATCCCTCCTATGTTGAAGGCTCTGCTTAAATGACAGATCTATCCAGGATGGGTCCAGGCGAGAGATGAGACGTCTTGCTCTGTTCTCTACTCTGTCAAGCAGTCGCAGATGAGAGGGGGGGCAGGCAGCCTTTATCTCTCTGTCTCTTTCTGTCTCTCTCTCCCTGTCTCTCTGTCTGTCTGTCTGTCTGTCTGTCTCTCTCTCTCTCTCGTCTCTCTCTCTCTCTCTCCTCCTCTCTCTCTTTCCCTGTCTCCGTCATCTACCTCATATTTTCTGAGTGACTTGGAGTAAGATTTCACTTTCCATGCAAAGGGCGGTCAGTTCTATTTTGGCAGCAGGGACGCCGGCAGCCACATCCGCCAGCATTTCCTTGAGTCAGTTGTACCTTGCATTTCCGTTCCATTATAAAAATTAGAACCATTGTGTGTGTGTGTGTGTGTGTGTGTGTGTGTGTGTGTGTGTGTGTGTGTGTGTGTGTGGTGTGTGTGTGTGTGTGTGTACTCTCCTATACGTACTTCCCTGTTTGCAGTTCCAAGATCGAGTCTCAGGCTCTGCTTGTTATCATATTCTGGATTCACTCTCTCCTAGCAAAGGTAAGGACAAGTGAACACTTGCTAAAACATTTTTTCCCTGAGGAGGTGTTCACTTGTTAATTGGACTGACCATAATGCCTTGATCGAAACGTTTTTATTAAGATGTCTTCAGTATTTGTTCACTTGTTCTTTTCCTCAGCTTGACGGTATCAAGTACCTGGCGGTTGAAGAACAAAAAGGCACAACACCTTGACCGAAACAATACACAAACAACCCGCTCGTGTATT